CAACAGAAACAAAGAAAAGAGTACTGAACTGTTACGTAATATCAGTCCTCCTATATGGCAGTGAATGCTGGACAATCTCCTCACAGATGAAGAAGAGACTTGAAGCAACAGAAACAAAGAAAAGAGTACTGAACTGTTACGTAATATCAGTCCTCCTATATGGCAGTGAATGCTGGACAATCTCCTCACAGATGAAGAAGAGATTTGAAGCAACAGAAACAAAGAAAAGAGTACTGAACTGTTACGTAATATCAGTCCTCCTATATGGCAGTGAATGCTGGACAATCTCCTCACAGATGAAGAAGAGACTTGAAGCAACAGAAACAAAGAAAAGAGTACTGAACTGTTACGTAATATCAGTCCTCCTATATGGCAGTGAATGCAGGAAAATCTCCTCACATTTAAGAAGAGACTTGAAGCAACAGAAAAGAACACTGAGCTGTTTTGTAATATCAGTCCTCCTATATGGCAGTGAAAGCTGGACAATCTCCTCACATATGAAGAAGAGACTTGAAGCAACAGAAACAAAGAAAAGAGTACTGAACTGTTACGTAATATCAGTCCTCCTATATGGCAGTGAATGCTGGACAATCTCCTCACAGATGAAGAAGAGACTTGAAGCAACAGAAACAAAGAAAAGAGTACTGAACTGTTACGTAATATCAGTCTTCCTATATGGTAGTGAATGCTGGACAATCTCCTCACAGATGAAGAAGAGATTTGAAGCAACAGAAACAAAGAAAAGAGTACTGAACTGTTACGTAATATCAGTCTTCCTATATGGTAGTGAATGCTGGACAATCTCCTCACAGATGAAGAAGAGATTTGAAGCAAAGAAACAAAAGAAAAGAGTACTGAACTGTTACGTAATATCAGTCTTCCTATATGGTAGTGAATGCTGGACAATCTCCTCACAGATGAAGAAGAGATTTGAAGCAACAGAAACAAAGAAAAGAGTACTGAACTGTTACGTAATATCAGTCCTCCTATATGGCAGTGAATGCTGGACAATCTCCTCACAGATGAAGAAGAGATTTGAAGCAAGAGAAACAAAGAAAAGAGTACTGAACTGTTACGTAATATCAGTCCTCCTATATGGCAGTGAATGCTGGACAATCTCCTCACAGATGAAGAAGAAATTTGAAGCAACAGAAACAAAGAAAAGAGTACTGAACTATTACGTAATATCAGTCCTCCTATATGGCAGTGAATGCTGGACAATCTCCTCACAGATGAAGAAGAGATTTGAAGCAACAGAAACAAAGAAAAGAGTACTGAACTGTTACGTAATATCAGTCCTCCTATATGGCAGTGAATGCTGGACAATCTCCTCACAGATGAAGAAGAGACTTGAAGCAACAGAAACAAAGAAAAGAGTACTGAACTGTTATGTAATATCAGTCCTCCTATATGGCAGTGAATGCTGGACAATCTCCTCACAGATGAAGAAGAGATTTGAAGCAACAGAAACAAAGAAAAGAGTACTGAACTGTTACGTAATATCAGTCCTCCTATATGGCAGTGAATGCTGGACAATCTCCTCACAGATGAAGAAGAGATTTGAAGCAACAGAAACAAAGAAAAGAGTACTGAACTGTTATGTAATATCAGTCCTCCTATATGGCAGTGAATGCTGACAATCTCCTCACATATGAAGAAGAGACTTGAAGCAACAGAAACAAAGAAAAGAGTACTGAACTGTTACGTAATATCAGTCCTCCTATATGGCAGTGAATGCTGGACAATCTCCTCACAGATAAAGAAGAGATTTGAAGCAACAGAAACAAAGAAAAGAGTACTGAACTGTTACGTAATATCAGTCCTCCTATATGGCAGTGAATGCTGGACAATCTCCTCACATATGAAGAAGAGACTTGAAGCAACAGAAACAAAGAAAAGAGTACTGAACTGTTACGTAATATCAGTCCTCCTATATGGCAGTGAATGCTGGACAATCTCCTCACAGATGAAGAAGAGACTTGAAGCAACAGAAACAAAGAAAAGAGTACTGAACTGTTACGTAATATCAGTCCTCCTATATGGCAGTGAATGCTGGACAATCTCCTCACAGATGAAGAAGAGACTTGAAGCAACAGAAACAAAGAAAAGAGTACTGAACTGTTACGTAATATCAGTCCTCCTATATGGCAGTGAATGCTGGACAATCTCCTCACAGATGAAGAAGAGACTTGAAGCAACAGAAACAAAGAAAAGAGTACTGAACTGTTACGTAATATCAGTCCTCCTATATGGCAGTGAATGCTGGACAATCTCCTCACAGATGAAGAAGAGACTTGAAGCAACAGAAACAAAGAAAAAGAGTACTGAACTGTTACGTAATATCAGTCCTCCTATTTGGCAGTGAATGCTGGACAATCTCCTCACAGATGAAGAAGAGACTTGAAGCAACAGAAACAAAGAAAAGAGTACTGAACTGTTATAGTATTATCAGTCCTCCTATATGGCAGTGAATGCTGGACAATCTCCTCACAGATGAAGAAGAGACTTGAAGCAACAGAAACAAAGAAAAGAGTACTGAACTGTTACGTAATATCAGTCCTCCTATATGGCAGTGAATGCTGGACAATCTCCTCACAGATAAAGAAGAGATTTGAAGCAACAGAAACAAAGAAAAGAGTACTGAACTGTTACGTAATATCAGTCCTCCTATATGGCAGTGAATGCTGGACAATCTCCTCACATATGAAGAAGAGACTTGAAGCAACAGAAACAAAGAAAAGAGTACTGAACTGTTATGTAATATCAGTCCTCCTATATGGCAGTGAATGCTGGACAATCTCCTCACAGATGAAGAAGAGACTTGAAGCAACAGAAACAAAGAAAAGAGTACTGAACTGTTACGTAATATCAGTCCTCCTATATGGCAGTGAATGCTGGACAATCTCCTCACATATGAAGAAGAGACTTGAAGCAACAGAAACAAAGAAAAGAGTACTGAACTGTTACGTAATATCAGTCCTCCTATATGGCAGTGAATGCTGGACAATCTCCTCACAGATAAAGAAGAGATTTGAAGCAACAGAAACAAAGAAAAGAGTACTGAACTGTTACGTAATATCAGTCTTCCTATATGGTAGTGAATGCTGGACAATCTCCACACAGATGAAGAAGAGATTTGAAGCAAGAGAAACAAAGAAAAGAGTACTGAACTGTTATGTAATATCAGTCCTCCTATATGGCAGTGAATGCTGACAATCTCCTCACAGATGAAGAAGAGACTTGAAGCAACAGAAACAAAGAAAAGAGTACTGAACTGTTATGTAATATCAGTCCTCCTATATGGCAGTGAATGCTGGACAATCTCCTCACAGATGAAGAAGAGATTTGAAGCAACAGAAACAAAGAAAAGAGTACTGAACTGTTACGTAATATCAGTCTTCCTATATGGCAGTGAATGCTGGACAATCTCCTCACAGATGAAGAAGAGATTTGAAGCAACAGAAACAAAGAAAAGAGTACTGAACTGTTACGTAATATCAGTCCTCCTATATGGCAGTGAATGCTGGACAATCTCCTCACATATGAAGAAGAGATTTGAAGCAACAGAAACAAAGAAAAGAGTACTGAACTGTTATGTAATATCAGTCCTCCTATATGGCACCGAATGCTGGACAATCTCCTCACAGATAAAGAAGAGATTTGAAGCAACAGAAACAAAGAAAAGAGTACTGAACTGTTACGTAATATCAGTCTTCCTATATGGCAGTGAATGCTGGACAATCTCCTCACAGATGAAGAGATTTGAAGCAACAGAAACAAAGAAAAGAGTACTGAAATGTTACGTAATATCAGTCCTCCTATATGACAGTGAATGCTGGACAATCTTCTCACAGATGAAGAAGAGATTTGAAGCAACAGAAACAAAGAAAAGAGTACTGAACTGTTACGTAATATCAGTCCTCCTATATGGCAGTGAATGCTGGACAATCTCCTCACAGATGAAGAAGAGATTTGAAGCAACAGAAACAAAGAAAAGAGTACTGAACTGTTACGTAATATCAGTCCTCCTATATGGCAGTGAATGCTGGACAATCTCCTCACAGATGAAGAAGAGATTTGAAGCAACAGAAACAAAGAAAAGAGTACTGAACTGTTACGTAATATCAGTCCTCCTATATGGCAGTGAATGCTGGACAATCTCCTCACAGATGAAGAAGAGATTTGAAGCAACAGAAACAAAGAAAAGAGGACTGAACTGTTACGTAATATCAGTCCTCCCATATGGCAGTGAATGCTGGACAATCTCCTCACAGATGAAGAAGAGACTTGAAGCAACAGAAACAAAGAAAAGAGGACTGAACTGTTACGTAATATCAGTCCTCCTATATGGCAGTGAATGCTGGACAATCTCCTCACAGATGAAGAAGAGATTTGAAGCAACAGAAACAAAGAAAAGAGGACTGAACTGTTACGTAATATCAGTCCTCCTATATGGCAGTGAATGCTGGACAATCTTCTAACAAACGAACAAGAGACTTGAAGTAACATAAATCTGTTTCTACAGAAGAATGCTGAGAATAACATGTACTGAACATTTGAGCAACGATGAAGTTTTACAGAAAATCGAAAGCGAAAGAAACTTATACTTAACATCTGGGAAAGACAGTTGAAATTTCTAGAGCACATAACGAGGAAGAAGGGTTTGGAAAATCTCATACTCACAGGACAGGCAAGCAGACAGAGGAAAGATCTGCGTAACATAGTTGACGAGCTTAAGTAAACGGATGACGGGACAGCTACAAATGAAGTTAAGGAGAGCCATGATCGCCTTCGACCTGTGTTGACATGGCACATAAAAAAGAAGAATAGAAATATTGAATAGAGCATCATAGTAAGAATCGAACTCATTATCTTTGTCTTTCAATCTACTGGACGAATTCGCCAACCATTACTGCCCGGTTGGAAACCTGACGGTTAATTTAGACATTGTTATGAAGACATTGACTAAAGAATAAGAGGTCATAGACAGAACCGGTGTTATGGCTATAACACGTTGAAACACCGGTTTCCGTACGCTCACCGAAGTTAAGCAACGTTGAGTACTGGTCAGTTACTAGGATGGGTGACCGCTTGAGAATACCAGCTGTTGTAATCTCGGATGTGCAATCGCCTGGTCCCCATGTTTCCCGGGATTTTTTTTTAAACAGGAGTAGAGGTTTATCACGTGTTTCCTGTTTAGTATTGGGTTTCCGGTTCTTTCTAATGACTTCTAATTCTCTATCACTCCCAGTATCTGCGTGTGTCTTAGTGGCATTATCGCCTTGTCTCGGGTGAATTGATTTAAAAAAAGAATTATACTGGTAGAAAAGGGATCCAATTCCTGATGGGTTCGTTATTTTCACTTAAGCGAAAATACCTTTGGGAAAGATATGACTCCACCTCTTCTCCCCCAGCTATGGATTAATTAGTAATACTCGTATCGCTAAAACCATTATTGTCTAAAAAAATCTAAAAATATTTTCAGGCTTTAAATAACCTGTAAAGGATTGATAATCCCTAAAAAATAGACCATTGAAAACTTGGACAAAACCGGATTCTTTATGTTTCAGTTTTGTAGAGGAGTTATAATTACAAATAAATAACGATAACATTTGTACCTACGAAAATACTCGAAAAAGAGCAAGACATGAAAAAAAAAACAACAAAAAAAAAAAAAACGCGAGTAACCGTAATACTGAGTATTGTGTTTTCGGGGTCAAATGTAAATCGGAATTCGATAGAAGCATAAGATAAGGAGTAAGTAAAGAGTATACAGTCTTTCCCGTAATTTTTATTTTTTATTTTTTTTATTGATGTGTGTAATGAGTATCCAGATAGTTTAGTTAGGAAACAAAATTTTTCTGGGGTCTTCTTACCTCATTTTTTTCTTGACTGTGAAAGAGATAAATATTACTATTATGGACAAAGGAAAAGGAGCCGAAATTTTCGTTGATGGACGTGTTGACGGCTTCTCCATATTGACTGCCTGTCCAATAGTGAGAATATCACGTGTTAATGTGTGTAGAGGAGTGGGGTCGATTCTCGTTTGTTTAGAAAGAGTGAATTAATGATAATTATAATTGTTATTAATTATTTTTGTTATAATTATTTTGACGTTATAATTAATTTTTTATTTTAGTATTTTTTCATGGGAACGGCAGTCTTCAAGATGGATTGGCTATTCGTTGTTTTAGGGTTGAAAGACTTATTGCTAATTTAAAATTTGACCTTAAGTCATTAAATAAATAATTAAATAGGAATAAGGAATCATAGTCAGAATCGAACCGGATATATTGGGAATATTTTTGTAAAGCAAAACCGCTAACCATTACGCTATAGCCAGCCAGCTTTTGCGTATCTTTTGCATATCTTGATTAGCGTTTTTACAAACGCTAACATGACAATTCTAAAAAAAAAAAATCTCAGCCTGAAACAGAAAGCTCCCCCTCAAAAATAAGGTTTGATGTTTCGGCAGACTTTGAAAAAATGAGTGTGGCAGCATTATTTTTTTTTTTTTCATTTCTAAATTTGTTTTTGAAATTTCTTTTTTTTTTTTTTTTAAGATTTATTTTCCTACTTCGATTATGATTTTGAGAATAATTTGTTTTCGTTTTTTTTTTCTCCCATGTAAATAAATCCAGTTATCTACAGTTACTTTTTCGTATCTTCTTTCATATTTCCTCCATTTCCCTCGTAAACCGTCAACTTTTTTTTTCGTTTTTCCTGGAACTTTAAAAAAAAAAACCCTCAAAAAACAAACAAAATTGATAAATAAAAATAAGCCAAATATCAACCTTATATTATCTAACGTAATTCTTTGATATCCTTTGTTGCCGACTTTGATTTCTTTCTAACCCAGCCTCGTTTTGAGAAATTAACCTCGCTTTCGCGAGTGAACAGAGGAGCATAATTTTATTTTGTCTTATGGACACTTAACATGGAATGTCAAAAAAAGAAAAAAAAAAAGAAAAAAGAAAAACAAACGACACAAATGGAAGAGAAACGAAAGAAGAAATAAACGCACTAATGCAATAAACGGAGGAATATAAAAGGAAACGTGTGAGTTCAAATTTCTTTTTATGATTCATTCGTGAACTTAACTAAAACAAATTCTCTATTTCTCAAACGCCGTCGTTCTCCACCCCCACGACAATAAATAATGTGAGGATGGTGTGACGATAAGCGGCTTAGAAAGAAAAATTCAGCAAACTGAGTTCGAATTCAGGCTGAGTTCGCTACGTTTACTTTCGCAAAGAAAAAAAATAAGCTTGGGGAATGTATGAATCCGTCTCGTCTCTCCCCACTTATGGGTTAAATAGTTGTGAAAATAGTGGAAAAAAATCATTGTAATCTCCAAAAGATTATTAATATTTACCCCCAAAAACTGAATTGCTCTTAAAATCCAAAAATATGGCTCGGCTTTAGATAGCACAAAAAGTGTTGATAAGTCATTAAAAAAAAAAAAAAAAATCTATCACTCAGTCCCCCGAGTTAAATAGCAGATCTTATCAATTTACAGTCGAATTGGCTGGATGTAAACGTAAGTTCTATGCTAATAATTTCATTTCTCGTACTTCCCGCTGGAGGAACTCTCTTCCGGCTCCAAGCCTTCAAGCTAAAATGGATCTTCAAATATTTAAATGCAATGTCAATCGTTATCTCCTGTCTTCCTGATTAATGTTCTATTGTCATCGCTCCTTAGTAATGTTTCTGCTTTCTAATTCTTTCACACCCAGCAACCGCTTGTGTCTTAGTGGCTCTACTTCCATGCATGGGGTGAAATGATACAAATAAAAAAAACTGTTACTAATCAGGAATGATGTTTCTATTACAATTTGTTACGCCAATTAAAGGTAGGCTGTCTCTAATTATTTTTCTTTAGTTCTTTGTCCTTAGTAATGTTTCTGCTTTCAAATTCTTTCACACCCTGTAAACGTTTCGGTCAGCAAGGTCGATTTTACTCTGTGGCACCATCGGTAAAGCACGTCAGGTTGTATGACGGTTCCCTATAGAACACAGGTTCGATTCCTGTCGGAGGACGCATATTTTCTATGTAAATTTCTTGGACATTCAGGCCTGTAAATGTTGTTTAATACTGTTTATTATAAACAGAGCATTTACTTAAATATTTGTATGTATAAAAAAGAACGTATAAAAATAATAATTGTCTATTTCATTTATATGTAAGAAATTTTTATGTTTATACATTCTTTTTATAGATACAAATATTTAAGTAAATGCTCTGTTTATAATAAACAGTATTAAACAACATTTACCAGCCTGAATGTCCGAGAAATTTTCATAGAAAATGTTCGTCCTCCGACAGAAATCGAACCTGTATCCTATACAGAACCATCATTTAGCCTGACGTGCTTTTAACCGATTTGGCCACAGAGGAGCGTTCGGTTAGCAAGGTCGATTTTGCGGTCTTTAAACTTTAATCTTCCATGAATCTCTCACGTACATTCATATCTGGCGTATCCAAATGTAAACAAATGACGTCACACATGAAATGGACAAAGTCCGACAATTATTTTAAGACATTTTTATGTTTATACATTCTTTTCTATACATACAAATATTTAAGTAAATGCTCGGTTTCATAATAAACAGTATTAAACAACATTTGTCCATCCTTCCAGACCTGCTAGAGGATGTATCCTTGCAAATACTAAGACGCATGTGGACCATGCATGGGAAGGCTACAGGATATTTGGCTGACATCAAACATAAAAGATGTAGAAGAGGACCGCTTCCATGGACTGAACGTTCCTCCGAGCACAATCCTTTGGATTTTTATCTGTTTTTTTTTTTTTTTTCCCGTGACCTATTAGGGTCGTGGGGGCACCATGTCTACTGCAGTCGCAGTAGAAGTGGTGCTTCTTGGGCAAGATAACTTGACGGAACACCAACCCACTCTAGGCCAGTTTTGAATTCAGAGTTTTTCATTCTCCTAGACCGGTTGCCACCCAAGGCTATAAAACCCAGTCTGTCCTGGGGGCGGGGAAGAATAAGAGGATTCATATCTTTCCCAAGGATATTTCTCAGTCCGAGCCGCTATCCATTAGCCCACCGTGCCTTTTTATCTGCGGGGACGCCTAAAACAATTGAGTTATGAAGTAGACCGTTCATGAACGTGTCATGGGCGCCTGCGACACCATTCGACACCGTGTGGGAGTATTTGAAAGGGTTCGCCAGTCAATGATCCGACGGGTGAATACGTGTTTAGAAGCAAGCATTTTGGACATTTCTTATGAGTTGCTGTCTTGAAGTACAAAGATGGCCTTTTGGACATATGTTCAAATGGCCATTTTACCGTGTTTTGGTGCCAGGAACACGTCCCTAAAGTCGCTATAAGTATTTTTTGATACACCTGTATATATATATATATATTATCTATATATATATATATATATATATATATATATATATATATATATATATTATTATTATTTGTGTAGGCTATGTTTTCTGCCTTGTATCCTGTAGAACCGGGTCCGAACTATGCTCCTTAGGCCCTATAGGATAATTTCTATTTAACTGATAGCACTTTTCTTAATATATAGGATGCTCCTAGTAGGGTGATCTTCTGGACAATTTGTATGTTGATGTTACCTGAGACACTGTTAGTAAAATTGTCCATTCCTTTTCTCATGAGACCCAGAGATCCGATTACTCTTGGTACAGTCTCAGTTTTCATTCCCCACATCCTGTTCATCTCGATCTCCAGGTCCTTGTATTTGAACAATTTCTCGATCATTTCTATGGAGGTGTTTCTCTCAGATGGTACTGCTAGGTCAATAAGCATACACTTTCTGAATTTTATTATTATTATTATTATTATTATTATTATTACTACTACTACTAAAAACGTTATTATAGTGGATACACGTACTTTAAATAGACTGTCCTTAATAAAGAAAATGTTTCTCCTACAAAGGTGTATTCGTTATGTAAGCTAGCAGAGGGGAGGACCTGAAATCATGGGCAGCCTAAGATAAGTAAAATCTCTAAAAGAGGACGAATGCCGCCTTAACGCAAGCTACAGATATTTCTTTTCAATTTAATTTCACTCGCAAGGCAGGCTTGATTTCTTTGGAAAGAACATTACGAT